CTTTATAGAACAAATCTCAACATGCATACCTGAAGATATACTGTTTCCAATTATGAATATGCTGTTTTGTAATTAAAAAAACGTTTCTGAATTTCTAGAAGAAAATGCACACACGAACAGACCTTTTAATTAGTAAACAATGGAATTTTACCGAATATGTTTTCTATTTTAGAAAGATCTCTTCATTTGTAATCCATACGAATGTGCACTGTGTTAATCTTGTTTATTTCAAATAGATTTCCATTTTCTTTCTAATAAAAGTTCTTTAAGTGTACAGATTTCTGCAAGTAATAAAGATAAATCGATTTGGTTACTCATTAATATTATTTGAATATAAATTAATTACTAAATCAACATTTATTAGACATTGATCATAACGTCGTTATCACACAGACAAGAATTTGGAAAAACATGCTTAAACGCTCAGAATGAAACGCGATTGTAAGCCATTAACACTACTTAGAAAAACGCTAGAAACGCGTTTATCGGCGCAAAATTTTCACTTCAGAACGTTAAAATGCATTCTCACAAACTTTGTCTACTTGTGTTGAAGATACTATAATTTAGCTAAAAGATATTCAAATTCAAATAAACGAGATGATGAAGCAGATTTGAATAGATTTTCGACACGAATTAATTCTTCACGGGATTTTTTTATGTGAGGATTATCAGTTAATGGATTATTTTTCCATCGTGAACATCTCCGTAAAATGACTAATTCTGAGCAGTATACCTATCATGCTTCCATTACAGAGATTTTACTGTATTTGAATAAATAACAAAATTTCTTGTCTATGATAACCAGCTTCATTCATCGACAATAGAATATTCCTCACATCAGTTTTAATCTGGATATTCTTTATCGATCTATGTATGGTCTACATTATGAAATAGGGAACAGACGAGTATAGACAAATGATTAAATAAATAATACCACGTGCTTATAAAGAGAAACATAGAAATGACGCACTTTAGTTTTGTCCTATACACGTTCACTTATATCATGTAAAGAGTTGAATGTTTATCCTCTACTTATTATTCCATTGTTATGCGTACATTTAGTGGTAAAAGTTGGCAGTGTTATCGATATTATTGTTACTTCTTATATTCATATATTTATCGTCATAATTTACGGAACTATTCTTAGTATACTTATTGAAATTAGGGGTGAGAAGTTATTGTTATTCGGTTGTTATTAATAACAAAAAAATAACAAACAACTTTTTTTTTTGAAAAGCTTTCAACGCGAATTGCTGCCTATCTCAACTATACTAATTCTGTTGCTCTATGTTTAAGGAATGAATTTGCCACGGCTATGACAATAAGCGATCTCAAAATTTCAGAATTCGCATAGATCATAGAGAAGGTGGGCCAAAAGTAACAGAATAAAAACGTTTTTTCGATTGTTTTTCTTTAAATACCGGCAGTTACATCTCATATTTATACTGCATATACTAGAGGATACTAATCAGAGCAGAGTTGTAACCGGTCCGGTCGGATCGAATCGGTTGAAGCGATTGAATCGGCCGGTTTTTACCAGTTAAAATATATATTATGAATGTACAGATTTTTCAGATGAAACTAGTTGATAGCAAGCTTTTATGCCCTTATCAAAATAACCAGCTTATTTTATTTCAAAAACTATACATTGTTTTTCTTCTGTTCCTCAATCTATTTCATTTCTTTAATCCAAATACGCTTTATTTTTTAAAAGTGCATTCGAAACTATACTAATTCAGTTAAATTTATCTCATAGATTTTTTGTAAAGATAAAATTTAGGTTGGAGTCATCTTTGAGAGAGAAGCGTTACGTTATTTGTAAAGATTAAGTGAATGAAATTCAAAATCTGGAATGCGGCAATCAATTGATCTGTAAATGATACTTTTTCGAGCTATATATAAATATCTCAGGTATTTATCTTAGAGAAGCCAAACAGATATGAAGAACTAGAACGTGATATTCATTCGTGATGATCTGTAAAAGCCGGAACGAAAAAGATAAATGACTGTTTCTGAAATCATCTCTATTAGCGAATTAATAATGACGCAACAAGCGGACCATATTCTGCTAGTTTGCACCGGTCTAATAGATGTGTTGAACTACTTAGGTCTGACCAAAAGTTCTGCAATCGTTATTGGCAATTTTATAAACCAATCAACATTCAAGAGGTTGTTGCATGGATAAATAGTGGAAAGTCTTGTCTATAAAAATATATATAGTAAATCTATTTTGGACTTAGTTATAGTACTTTTTCAGATAAACTTTCGTTTGAACCAAAAAAAAATTTTTTTTAATGGATAATGAACTCAATCGATATTATATAAAAATTCGAACTATTTTGGGAATAGATCCAAAGACAANAGCGGGGACTAAGCTTTTTGTGGGGGGGACTAAGGGGGACTTTGCAGGACTAGGGGGGACTAAGGGTTTTTAGGGAGACTACGTAGTATCAAGCGAGAAAAGTTTGATTCGGAAGAAATTGGTGTGGTTTTTTTGATTTTAGAATTCAGTTTGAAATAAAAAAGCCCATAGACTCTTTTGTGAACTATTGATATATTGAAGAAAAAAATATTCTTAAACATGTTTAGAAGAGTTTTTGATTAATAAAAATGAATATACCTACCAGAGATGTCCACAATGTGAATTTTTACACTCAACTCTGCTTGTCTGAATCGAGCAGGGCAGAGCAAGGTACCCTGTAGAATCGATATGCTTTCTCATTGCGGTTTTGAATTCAGTTCAACAGTAACAAGATTTGTGTATTAGTGATTTATTTAAATTTCTTTGACAACATTAATGACTAATCGTTCAGCTAATAAAATGTATGAATATTACCAAATATAAGACAAGTAAATGGCATAATAGACACAACCTAGGCTTTAAAAATTTACTATAGATATTTATCTGAAAAAAAGTTCAATATAAAAAGAATGACAAAAAAAAAATATATAAATTTTTTTTTATATAAACCTTTATCTATTGATTGTATGCATGGAGATAGTGTATAAGAATTCTATTGATCAAACTTAGCTATCATCGACTGTAATTGAGAATGCAACAGACATCCCATCTTTAGTCTACATTGTTACTTTTCTGCGATGTATATTAACTATTGTTAAAATTGTATAACAGGTGTGAAAATAGAAGTATTTCATTTTCTTTTTTTTTAATTTAAAGAACATGCTCGAGTTCCAGCTGAATGTCGTGAAATAAAAAGTGCTTATTATATGAATCTACAATTTAAAGTCAAAAAAAATTTATGATACTTCAGTTAAAATAATAGCAGAAGCAAAACATATTGTTCCTGAATGTCCAAAGTAAGTTAGTTTTTCGTTTTTTCCTTCTGGATTAGCAATCTATATTAAAAAAAAGAAATACATACTCATCTACAGTTTGTAATGCAATGCCTTAATAAATATGATGATCTGCCAATGGAATATTTACATAATGCACTTGAAAAAGATCGACAAACAGGAGTATGTTTAACATACTAATTTGTTTCTAAAGAAACATTTTTTATTTTTATCATCTGTTGTTGATGTATTTACACAATTAAATCAATTTTATCCAATAATAAAAGGTCTTGAACTTCAGAACACGTTGATGGAGAAGATCATATTTGTTCTATATTAATAAATAATATTCAACAATTAAGATTAAATTTAGAACAATTGTATGAATTAATAGATGGTGCACAATTAGATAATGAAACTAAATTTCGATTTACTGAATTACAAAAATAATTAAGTGATGTACTTGATGAATTAAGTACTATGTTTGTTAAAAGTATTGAATCAATAATAAGAGAATCAACAGAAGAGAGTTTACAAACAATTGAAACAAATGAAAGATAATCAAATTAGTATGGGAAATAATAGCGGACAACAAAAATATGCTGAAGCTATGATTGTTACAAAATCATTATTGGATTATCTTGATCAAAGGTACGAAAATTTCTAATGTTCTATTTTAATTGTGTTCAAGTAACGATCCATCTATTTCGACAAAGTCAGAAAAATCTAAAATTCATGCTTTCATTATATAATTTGGACGTTATCAAAAAGATGATGTGAGATGTTTTCTTAATCATTATTTCAAATAATATACTTGAATCGATTGATATTCCATGCAAACAAACAAATCAAAATTTCTATGATTCTCGAAAGATAAAAAGAAAACTAAACTTAATGTTTTAAAAGCTAAAAAATTTATTGTGTTATTCTAATGAATGCATTGAACTTAAAAGATTTTCTTGTTCATAATCAATGGGAATTGTCAGAAATTTATTGATTTGAAAGAAAGAAGAAGATTATAAGAATTGATTGAATAATAGTTAATTGTCTTAATTTGAAAATAGATTTATTCTTTATCATTTTAGGTTGATGTTCTTTGAAAATCAATGTGAAAAAAACTGTATTTAAACGTCTTCTAAAAGGATTATGGAACGCTGTTATTAGTGATTTAGAGAAATTTATTGTTTTGCCACCATTTGTTGATTCAAAAATTCATTAATTAAAACATTTGTTAAAACTGAAAAAGAACAAGGTAATAAAAATAAAATATTATTCTTTATTAATTAACTCAATATATTTTTTTAAATTTAAGATCGTCCAGCATTTAAAGAATCTTTTGGTGAAGTATCAATTCAAGTTGATTGATTTATACGTCCAGGCACAGGTGAACATAAAGTTACTGTGAAAGGTAGGACAAAAAAAATTAAAAAGAAAAAGAAAAAAAAAATGTTTTTTTTAACATTCTTATAATTTATTTGTGGCTGCAAATGGTTTTAAATGGCGTACGACTGAAATGTTTCGTCCTTATGTTGAATAAGCTATGTGTGGTCGTCATTTACATGACAAAAAACGAAAATATACAATGAAAACAAAGAGTAATACATGGATACCTAAATATAATGAAACATATCATTTGTGAGTTGTCTTTTTTTTTGAATTTGTAAGAAGAAAAACTAAAAAATATTGCTGTTAAAGATTATTCATTTATGCTTGAAGATCGTATAATTCGATTAAATGTTATAAAATTAACACAAGTTTCTGAACATGGTTTATGGTCATCATGGATTTCACTTGGTTCTCATATTAATTTTGATGATTCTAGTTTAACTATACTTAGTATATTATCGCATAGAACTAATGATGAATTAGCTAAAGAATTTGTTGTACTTAAATCAGCAAGAAGACATAAGGAAGACGTGTGATCAATATTTTGTCTTTTCTTTTCTGTAAAGCCATTTTCAAAACATCTCTCTGTATTTTCAACGTCTGTGTTCTCTCTCTCTCTCTCTCTCTCGTTTTTTATAATGCTATTCCCTAAAATAAACTGTTTTGTTTTTTTGCATTATGTTATAAACAAGGAATAAATTTTTTAAATAAACATCTACAATACTTGAATAATTTGTTAATAATTAATATTTTTCAAATAATATTGCGGTATTGATTCTCATAAATAAGAGAATTAGAAAAGTAAAAAAAAAAAAAAGATACGTTCCTTGCTCATTAAAAAGCAATAGTTTTAATTGTTTACATAAAACTATGCATTGATTTATATTTGTGATTCGACACTTGTTTTGAGTGACTTCATATATTGTTACACTTTATGTTAATGCTGATATTCTTAGATGATCTTTAATGAATATTAAAATTTTTTATTACATATCTTTCTTATTTACAAAGATTTCGTTTTCTTTTTTTTTATTTATAGAACTAGCTTCCAATATTTGTTGTACTGATGATGAATTTTTCAATTAAGTAAATCATGACTTGAAAACTACGTATGTCCATTTATCATGGGCAAGAAGAAAAAATACAAAATACTTCATTCAACAATATATGTAAAGCAGTGCATCAAATATTATATTGTTTTACAGAGAAAGAAGAATAAAAATGGAATTTTATTTTTGTTATTTTTGATGTAATATCTACCAGCAATAATAATCGACTATAATAACAAGATTTATTCATTAATCGATAAATTCTAACCTTGAATCATTTGCATGTTTGTTGTTCGATCAAAATGTGAATTTAACAGAGAATAATTTACACATCCAGAAAGACTTCCGACAACTTGCACAAGAAAAAGTTGTTCTTTTCGCATTAGGCTCATTAGGTCAAGATTTTTCACAATTTTCTGCATGTAATGTTTTTTGTCAAGATCAAATAACAAAGGAATACTAGACTGATAAATATAACAAGACTACATCTATTATAAAAAAAAAGATTCTGATTTTATTATTTATTTAAGTAGTAGTAGATGCATCTTCAATATTAGTCGACTTGATATCATTCGAGTGAATAATTAAAAGATTTTCGTTTAAAGTGAAAGTTTCAAGAATTCTTTTTTTGAATTTAATTTGAACTACGCTATCAATGTATACTCTTAAAGTTTAATTTTTATCTCTACTAAAAGTTCTGTTGCATATGTGCGATTCTAGATAATTAAAAAAAAAAATTTTTTCAATTTTGATACTCTAGTGTTAGACTTAACATTATCGAAAACGGTTAGAATTAATACTAAAAACTTTTTCTTGTACATAAATTTGGAAGATGTGCAATAAAAAAAAATGTATTTTTCGCGAAATTTTGATAAATTGTTTTTTTTTTTATCCGAATGCTTAGAACTAAAATCTCTATACATATTGTAAATTTTATCATTTTGCAATGTCGTTGAGATCCTCGACATATCTGATTACAAATGAGCTGTTTTTAAAAATGATCTGGATCTTCAAAGCTTATGTGCAATCGAATATGCAGTTCATCTTACTGTTATTGCTTTTCTGATTAATCTATAGTTTTATGTTTATATTCCAAAGAATCTGGACAAGGATAGAATGAAAAGAAAATTTATCGGATCTTCCTAGTAAAAATAAACAATTGAATTGGATGAAGAATAATATAAGTCAATTTCTTTCAATAAATTCTTTTTTTTTTCTATTAACAACTTATTCTCGATTAACGGCTCTTGAATTTGCTCTACTTAACCAAAACATTGATGATGTTCAAAATATCACTTTCAAAATAGAAATTAATCCACGTTTACAAAAAAAAAAAACAGTTTTGCTGACATTACTCAAATGAGTTATGTTCGAAAAGATGAAGCATGGATTTGTATATCATTAGCAAGTGAACATGATTATGAATTAAAAGAAACGTTTTCTTACATAAGAAATAGAATTGATGATCATACGAATTTGGATTCTCTAGGAAAAATTCTATTAGAGATGAACGAATACGACCAAGCAAGGAATTACTATAGAAGAATGTTGAATATAAGTCAACTTGTATATGGAAATATATTATTAGGTTTTATATATTCCATTTTTACAAAATATCTCTCTTGCTTTCCATTATTCATGATGGTTTTGTCTAAATTGAAAAAAAAAGAAATAATACAAAATCTAGAAAAGTTTACCTCGTATTGTTTCCTATCGGAAAATAGTGTTGTTGTCAATAATTTTCTACTGAAGATAATTTTTGTATTTCATACATTTTAAATCAATGAATGATAATATTAAACTATGGCAAAATTTTTCTACTTCATTTCGTGCATCAATAAGAATTTCTTTCATTATTTTTTGACATTGTTATTTTATCTCTAATAAAAGATAACTATTATAACTGAAAGTAAGTAAAAAAAACAAAAGAAAAGTTCTTTTACTATAGACATACGTAGAAATATTACTTTTTTCAATTGATGCCTAATTATTATTAATAATGATTGATTATTTATCTAAGTATATATATAAGAAAATATTCAAGATCGACGATACAGTTTAAAGAACATCTATGACGAAATTTTCATGTTACGCTAACGAACATTAAATTCCAAGTTTTTGAAAAACTTATACATCTTCAGAAAAACTTAAAAGAGAGATTGTTTACAGAAATGTATTAATTAATTTTCGAAAATGTTGCTGTCAAATTGTTAACGCTAGAGTTTTAATAATAAATTAAATCTAGCAAAGTTCATTATCTATTCAATATGTAATTAAGTATTCATTCATATATTTCAATAAGTTGTTTTTGTCGCAACAACACTAGCAATTTTCTCGACTTCCTATTACTCAATTCATAGTTTAATTCGATTTGATAAACAAAAAGTATTGTTTAGATTTTATCGAAAGCGATAATAGAATGATATCTGAAATTCATATTCAATAACTAATAAGCATATCGTAAAATTGAGACATGAGCATTCATAGATTTCGTGATACTTTTCTAACAATTTAGATTTTAATGTTCTAGCTTAACTAACATACTATTGACATATACTTAATCACATGATTAATATAAATTAACGAAAAATATTCTATAACTCATCGATAAAATATTAGATTAAACGAACTTCTTAAATTTTTCTAGGAATATTTAGAATTCTCACATGTCCTATCATTAAATGATGTTGATATTGAAGTCTAACATAATGATTAATAGCTATTGTTGTTATATCAATCTTTATTCAACTAATTCACTATTTGTTATTAATAGAGTTGAATTGCGATGAATAATTGATATTGGTTCATCCATATGATTCTATTTGATTATTCCTAAATACATAAACTTTGATGATGTACAATATCTCTTTACCTGATACTGAAGCGGAAGTCTATCATTATTTATCATTGTCTATTGTTCAACGATGCTAACAGCTCCACATCATATACAAATGAGCATCGATGAATTTGATCCATTTGAATTATTTCGCTTTACCAATTTCTTTTTTCTTTGTTTGTTGTCATTGATTGTCTTTTCTCCATATTGTGTACTTTAATATTGCCATGAGTAGTATATCTCAAGAAAGCGCTCGATTGAAAGAAAAAAAAAGACGAAAAATAAGTAAAGCCTTTCTATGTTGTACAAGTAACATAAGTGTCCTTCGACAAAGAAACAAACGACGCGCGTCACATATATAGAATTCAATCCACTTGAAAATTGCTGATTTCGAAATTTCGAAACCAATTTTTTTTTATTTTCATTATTGCATCTTGGTAAGTAACTTATAATCATGGCTTCTAAGCAGATCTTGAAGTTTTTTAAAAGTCATATTTATAACGATTGTAGGACTAGAATATTAATTACAAAGAATTGAGACAAAAATTAATTGATATTCATCACAGATTCCGTTTATTTGATCAACTGATGATTTCTTCTTACGAGGGAACTTCCCGAGGTGTAACCTCCCGTTTTGATTCATTTATATGTCATTTAAGTGAGCATATTGAGATAGTAAATACCCTAAACGGATTTGGGTTCCTGCTTCTTCTATCAAGAGTTATGACCGTTTTACTGAATTTTCTATCCATCTCGAGGTATTTACTGTAAAAATGAAATTAGGGAATTTCGACTTAAAATTTTGTTCACAAATAGGCCCAATGGTCCTTAAAATACCCTGAAAGTTTCAGCCAAAAAGAGTGTTCCTTTCTCAAGATATTNTTTTTGTCTTTTTTCAAATATATCTGATACTATTTTTCAGCAAAGCCGTATATGATTTGGTAGAGAATTTCAAGCGCTATCTTTTGGTAATAAAAAGAGCTTTAATTACAGGGATAATAGACAAGAAATCTTTAAAATATTGAGAGGTTCATTTTTCCTGGGACACCCGTTATGTGTTTTGTTCGCATGTGTCATCGTTCCATGAATTCTAGTGGGTACTTTTTGAATAACTTTTGATAGAAGCAAGATAGAGAACTATTGTTATTCAATTTTCTAGCTCCCGGGAAAATGTTTTTTATGAAAAAAGGGAAAAGCATAAAAGTCAGCTTTTCCCACAGATTTTGCTAGAAAATCTTAGTAGAGACTCGATTAGAATACATATCATTTATCTTAGCCATTCGTACTTTGTAGACCTTCGCTTAGTACTTTGAATTTATACTTGATCATTGAAAATTCGCTGTAAACAACTTACCAGATAGGTTTGTTCTTACAAGAGTCAATTATAAACCTTACAAAAAGCATATCGGACATTAGTTGAAGTATGGTCAAATAGCATAGAAAAATAGAGCATTTTTTTTTCAATCAGACTATATAGAGAGAAAGTTATTTTAAACTTTTTATAAGAAACTAAAGTACCATTCTCACTGCTTTCGGACTGCTGCAGGGTCTCACCTCTACTTGCAGTGTGGGAGGCGCCTCTGGGCTGCCGGTAGCCAAACCGTCCATGTCTCAGGCTAGCTATCTGCTAAATGGACATTAAACCTATCTAGCTCACGGAAAAGACAAAGATCCTTGCATAAGCGCCCGTAAATTTCCGTTCTTTGGTCATTTGAATGTTCGACCGTGTCTATTGATGACAAGCAAGGCAATTTACTCGCTAATGGTCATGAACGCCTTCATTGACAAAGCGAATATTTTTGTAAACTTCTCAACGTACCCTTCACTGCTGATCCTTCAATTACGCAACGAATATTAATCTCTCAGCTATCTTCTGAAGAACAAAACCGACAGGACAAACCTCCATCTCTACTCGAAGTCGAAGAAGCAATACGACGAATGAAAAGTGGGAAAGCACCTGGTATGGATGGAGTATCAACCGATGTCATCAAGGCTGGAGGATATGCTCTATCTATACGATTTCATACTCTTTTCGTCGAAATATGGGAAGAGAAAGAAACAATTGATGATTGGTCAACAGCAATTATAATTTCACCTATTCAAGGCAAAAGGTGACAAACTTGATTGTGGTAACTATCGTGGAATCTCTCTTACCGGTGGCAGGCAAAATTTTCTCTCGAGTTTGTTTGAATCGTGTGCAGAAGCATCTGAGAACAGAAATTATGGAACAACAAGCTGACTTTCAGTCTAATACCTGGTGTACCAAGAGTTTTGCGACATTTTTGATTTTGCGTTTATCTCGACTTGAGAAAATGATAAAATCTTGATTTTATTCTCAAAAGATGTGCCGTGAAAAGTTCTACAAAAACTGTATAAAGAAATCTGTATTAACTGGTTCTGGTGATTTTCCGATGCTTAATACGAACAATCTACATGGTAGTACTATGTCCCACCGTATTGAACATTGTAAAAATGTTTGAAAGATCTTTTCGTTTTGCAATAGGGATTTGTTCATACAAATTATGTAGAGCTTTTAACAGCGTATCTTTGAAAAAAAATCAAGACGCTATTATTTTCTCAAGTCGAGATAAATGCGAAATCAAAAATGTCGCAAAACTCTTGGTACAGCCGATAGATCTACTATCGATCATATCTTCATACTTAAATTATTGATGGAGAAAATACGAGATCACAACAAATAACTCTTCTTATGCTTCATTAATATACAAAAAGCCTACAATTCTATTAACCGTGATATTCTATGGCGTATATGCTGATATGATGGACTCACTGAAAAAATTGTTCGACTACTTCAATTTTTATACAAAGATTCATAAGCCAGAGTACGCATTAACGGCGAATTATCTGATCCCTTCGATATTGAAACTGGTGTTCAACAAGGTGTCATTCCATCACCAATCCTTTTCAACGTCTTCTTCGATTTTGTGATACGTCAAGTCCTTAATCAGCTGGCCGTATTAAGAGACTTCTTTCAATTAGCCAGTGAAAACAATGATAATATTGAACTGTTAGCACTCCTCTATGCCGACGATATGGTTGGTTGTTTCTGCAATGCTATAGATCTAGATCTCTTTGTTGGAATTTTCGAAGAAGTTTCACAAGAATATGGTATCACCATGAGCATCAAGAAGACATATATTATGTAATGGAGAGAACTCAAGATGGATACATCAAGAAAAATTATCAGAAGTGAAGAAGTTATATATCCACAGATCGACATAACCATCCGAAATGATACTATTGCAATGGTGGATGAATTTTGCTACCTTAGTTGTTACTTTACTCGTACCTTCTCATTCAATCGTGAAATGGAAATGCGATTACTAAAAGCAACAATGGCATTTAATATGCTTCGTCATGTGATATGGTATCGAAAAACAGTATCTATCGAGGCAAAACTTCGCATCTTCCGATCATGTGTTCTGTCGTGTCTTTTCATTTGCGAGCATAAAACCGAAATTCATAATCTGTTAAATTCAATTTCAGTTGTTTTTTAAATTAATTTTATTCAAATTGAAAATAATCTTAGGTCTCGAATTTTTGGTTTTCAAATTTCAAAAAAATTGACTGACAATAATTTTAGCACAACTTAAACTTTCAGTTGCATTTTTAAACTTGCTGAAATTTATAGTTCACTAAAGATTGAATTTCACTATTTCATTTTAACTAGAGGTGTGGGTGTGGATATGAGTTTAAGGGAAGACAAGACTCACATCCACATCCACACCCACCTACATCCTACACCAAAACACACCCACCAACACTCACAGCCCACACCCACATTCCACCCTTCCTCCACGTTTTATGTCCTTGTTGTTTCCTCTATCTTTTTGGGGTAATGTAGCTGGAAACGTTTCTGGCTATCTATCTCTTTTGTTTGGTGCAAGTAGTAACCAACACTGAGTACACCTTCGATTTGAGACGGCATCAATGCCCATGACATATGCATTGAAAAATTAAAAAGATTATTTCGAATCGAATGCAGCAACATCTCGCTGATCATGTTGATATCATATCAAAAGTTTCATACTGATTGATTTCTGCGCATCCTGTTGCATGTTTAAAATAAATCAATTTGCTAATTAAAATTGAAGGAAATCTAACAACAGAAAACTGGTTAAGCATATTGGATCATAGAAATAAAGTTCGCGAAAGTGACAAGACGAATAATGTTTTGAGAGAATTTGTAAGAAAAAAGACAATTTTTAAAGAGAAGCTTAGTTGTCTGCTTCATCCGACCACGTTTGTGGAGGAACCTCAACTTCGTTTGACGTATCCAATTCTTCAACACTGTGAAGTTCCTAGTCTCAACAGAAGCAATAAGAAGAGAGTTATAGCAATTGAGATAATAACATACCAAGGGTTTCGACAAAAGTGGTTTCACGTATGCACCGAACAGTTTATAGTATGGATTGTTGATATGAGTCTGCAGATCACTCTGCTGCTCATACCGCTCTACGATAGCGAATTTGGTTGGATCTGCCACATCTATTTTACAATGATAGATTGTATCTCCTTGTGAAAGGCAGAATAAGACATTCTTTTTACCTTGACTAACGAACCAGTCGATGGTTCCTTTATCCTTAGTATAAATGCGACTTGCTTCTATCAATTTTGCCTTCACTTTTTCTACATGTTCGCTCTTCACATCCAAATGTACAATAACAGTGAACACCATCTTGGTACTTGATCGTGGTTGAGTAAAAGAAAAGACGTAGCGCAAAAAAAAAGAAAAACACTCCACGTGCACACGCACAAAGTATCACAAAAAGTGAAAAAAGAACGCCTCCTCGCTCGCCTTCTCACATCTTTTTTCGATAACGTTGTTATTATCGTTATTTGTGCAAATAAAAGAATGAAAGAAAAAAATACGTGGAACAGACTTATCATTTTATTATTTACAATGGAACCTTTTGTACTGTCCATTGACAAAATTGCCCATATTCGGGTCAAATTATCACTCTCACCGCTTAAACGAACAAATTTAAAATATTACGTGCCCACAGCGTACTTAGAGAGAGATATTTGATTTTTAAGGTTTACACAGTATATGAAATGTGACCACAGTTGAAAATTTTGCCTCAATTCGTTTTTGTTTTTTCATCATGGCTAGATAAAGCTCACTGAGCTTTATAAGAAAAAATGGATTTTAATTTTTAAAAACATTTTGATGAAAAAAATCCAAGATGAAATTATTCTCAATATTAGAGAACATAGATCCAGCGTTGTGACATACATTAAGTATGTTTTTAAAAGCTAAAATGTATTTTTTCTTATAAAGCGCGGCGAGCTTTATCTAGCAATGACAAAAAAAAACAGTTGAGACAAAATTTTCAACTATGGTCATATTCCATATACTCTGTAAACGTTAAGAGAGCACTCAATAAAATTTAGATTGTTGATTTTATGTTCTCATCTTATTCAGCATCATCTAAAACCTCTCAATCTAAATTTTTAGCGCATTTGGTTGAGCTGGTGAAAAATTAGCTCAATTTTACTGTTGAACACTGACGAAACTATTTGAAAAATATTGTCAAAAATCGTTCCTATAAAGTGGAGATTTTTTCAATGGCATAAAGTTAACGAAATTTTTCATGTAATACACCAAAAGATAGAGCATTGAAAGCTGAACAAAATCACCTATTTGCATACTATATTTTTATAAGCTGATTCACAATTATTTATGCAACACCGTTCATCACTAGTCATTTTTCGAGTGAAAAGTGGGTCAATTTTTTGCAGCGTCTCAGCTGCCATTCAGTCATTTTATGAGACCCCAGACTGAATTTCACATATGTTGTACAACTTTTTCTCCTCTACAAAACAATAAAAACAAGGTTGAAAAAAACGTGGGAATGATGACGAAAACTGGCTCACAATATTGACCAACCAGACAGTACTCATAGGAAAAAATTATTATACATATTTTTTTAATGAAAAATGGAATTTTGAGCGGATTGTGAACTATCTACAGTACTTTTCATATAAATACGAATAATTTCAATGAATATATGGTCGAGACAAAGTAATAAATCAATAGTTGTTGGCTTCTCTGAAGCTACGATTGACTAGTGAATCTTAGATGGTCATAACAACATGTGAAAAAAGATGCAAATAATTTATACCTGCTTTAGTATTCATATAGATGATTTTCGGGTAGCTATAATATGACAAAGATATTTGTCTACTTACGTGATAAAAAACAGAATTGTTGGCCACGGTAAAGAAACATCTTTTCCATATTTCTCCTCTTCGATGCGTAGAACCCATTCCGTTTGAAGAAGAAGGGCATTACTCGGAAAACCCGCACTCATGGAAACAATATTATTCTTTATCAATATAAAAAAGAAACGGACGTCGAACGCATGGTTATACGACAAATTTTTGTTCTTCCTCTTCAAGTTTATTTGCTACATATATACGCAGCCACATACATGATCAGACAGTTGAATTTAATTTGAAAGAGAAAAGATGGATGGGTAGATTATCATTTTAGAAATTGCAGAGTATTTTTACATGCCATAGAAAACAGTCTAATATCTGATTATTGACCTTACATTCATATAAGAAAACAAGTATCTATTGATTAGTTTATATAGTGCACATATTCATTAAAATGTGCCGTACCTATGTAGAAACTGCTCTGGATAATTCATAATCTAGTCAAACTTTTTTTTTTTGAAAAAGAAACGCTCATAGTAATTTTTTCGCATAAATGCTGTCTGGTTAGTCAACATTATGAGTCATTTTTCGACCAAAAATCGAACTATTTTAAAACCATTTTGTAGAGGAGAAAACGTTGTACAACATATGTGGCACTCAATCTGGAGAATCATAGAATGACTGAATGGCAGCTGATATACTGGAAATAATTGACACATTTTGGGTGTGGGTGTGGGTGTGCGTGGGTGTCTCTGCTCTTCATCCACATCCACACCCACACCCACACCCCACAAACAAGAGTATGTTTAATATGCTAATTTGTTTTTTAAAGAAAAATTTTCTATTTTTGTATTTAGTTTTAACAAACCTTTGAACATTTTTTATTTTCATCATCAGTTGTTGATGTATTTACACAATTAAATCAATGTTATGGAATAATAAAAGGTCTTGAACTTCATGATCCTGTTGTTCTAGCAATATATATGCAATGTTTTTCTGTAACTATATCAGAAGTTTTACTTGCTTATGCAAATGCAATTCGTCGAACATTTGAACATGTTGGTGGAGAAGATCATATTTGTTCTATATTAATGAATAATATTCAACAATTAAGATTAAATTTAGAACAATTATATGAATTAATGGGTGGTACACAATTAGATGATGAAACTAAATTTCGACTTACTGAATTACAAAAACAATTAAGTGATGTACTTGATGAATTAAGTGCTATGTTTGTTAAAAGTACTGAATCAACAATAAGAGAATCAATTGAAGAAGTTTATAAACAATTACAACAAATTAAAGGTAATCAAATTGGTATGGGAAATAATAGTGGACAACAAAAAGTTGCTGAAGCTGTGATTGTTACAAAATCATTATTGGATTATCTTGATCAAAGGTACGAAAATTTCTAATGTTCTATTTTAATTATGTTCACGACCTATCCACGTAACGGTCCACCTATTTCGATAAAGTCAGAAAAATGCAAAATTCATGCTTTCATTATATAATTTTGACGTTGTCAAAAGGATGATATAAGATGTTTTCTTAATCATTCTTTCAGAGATGTTATTAATTTGTTCATTTCGGAGAAACTACAATTAACTCTCTGAAGAAATGAACGTCAATCAAAAGATACCCATTTTTGAAAGCGTTATTTCATCACGACAATTTTTTCTACATGTGAGACGAACTTATCATATGTTTTGAATTGGTTTTTTTTCTATGTTTAGCTCGTCAACTCAGCTACAACTTTTCTATAGAAAATTTTTTCATCATACTCGTAGATGAACTAAAATTTTTAATTCTTCACACATCACTGAAACCCAGAGTCTATTTTTGGCTATTCCGTCTCGGGCATGTATTTCAGTCATAAATATGTAAAAGAAAAACAAAATCTAGTGAAGCTTTTATGTTGTATTGGACAGCCTGACTTACATATGTTTTCAAAAACTCAGCCCTATTAGACTTCAATCTGTTGATATATTTCAGAGATAAAGTAAAAACAAATGTTATTCCGTCACGCTTGGACAGATCGTTCATTATTTCAAATAATATACTTAAATTGATTGATATTTCATGCAAACAAACAAAATCAAAATTCTAAGAGTTCTCTAAAGATAAAAAGGAAACCAAAATTAATGTTTTAAAAGCTGAAAAAAAATGAAGACACTCACAATTCCATTGTGATACATATCTTTACAGAATGGCAATCAATGTTTCTCAGCATCTAACACAATAATAGTGTATTGTGTTATTCTAATGGATGCATTGAACTTAGAAGATTTTCTTATTAATAATCAATGGGAATTGTCAGAAATTTATTGATTTGCAAGAAAGAAGTAGTATAAGATTATCCTAATGCTACAATCCATAATCGAACTTTTTCCGTCTTAATTTGAAAATAAATTTATTCTTTATCATTTTAGGTTGACATTCTTTACAAATCAATGTGAAAAAACTGTACTTAAACGTCTTCTAAAAGAATTATGGAAAGCTGTTATTAGTGATTTAGAGAAAGTTATTGTTTTGCCACCATTTGGTGATTCAAAAAATCTATTAACACTCCCAGTATCTAAAATTGAAGATGCTTATCGACTTTCTATCAGGAGAGTGTTCTCGTTATTTTATTTAATCAAAACAATATATAAGTGATGTATTAAAATAGGAATTAGGTCGAGATAATGATCGAAGTTTAACTCAAAAACAATGTCAAATATTAGATCGTGGTTTAGAAGATGTAAAAGAATTTTTTCATGCATCTGGACAAGGTTTAAAGAAAAATTATTTAGAAAAAACTGCTGAATTACAATCACTTAAATATGCTCTTTCATTATATACACAAACAACTGATTCATTAATTAAAACATTTGTTAAAACTGAAAAAGAACAAGGTAACATCATTAAAAATTAGTCTTTATCGATTGATTGAAATTTTTTGTTTTTTAATTCAAGATCGTCCAGCATTTGAAGAACCTTTTGGTGAAGTATCAATTCAAGTTGATTTATTTACACATCCAGGCACTGGTGAACATAAAGTTACTGTGAAAGGCATGAAAAAGAAAAATTAAAAAGAAAAAAAAGCTTGTTAGCGCAGCCCCTTTGGGGCTAAAATGTAGAACTCACATATGTTCTTCAGCTTCGTTATATTAATACGAAATACAGAAGATGTAAAATCAAGAATTTTTTATTTTTCATTTTCTGACGGGCGCTCTATTTTTCGTTTTCATTGTTACTATTCACTCATTATTTTTTTTNTGTTGCATGTCTAACATTCCTTCATGTTTCAGCTGACCTCGAAATATCATATAGTTTTGTTAATACAGATTTTGTTTAAAATTTTATAATTAAAAAAATTATGATAGTTCTTAGAGGTCTAAGCAAGTCTCGTTTTAGTCGACAAGATCTTTTGAATGAAGAAACTCATTTTTCAATGGGCTATTCTTTCCTATGAATTGTTTTTTCAAAATTTTGTTAACTCGGAACTGACGCATTGCTATGGCAACAGAAGAAAAATGTTCTCCATAACGAACTTAGATATTATTATGGATATAAATACTAAAAAAAAGGTCAATAACTGACAGAAACTATTTTAAAAAAATCTATTCTCAGAAAGTGATCTTCTAATATGACGAAGCTTTTACTTTGTTCACCGTCAATTTGTTTCGATAAGTTAATGTTCCCCATTTCGAATTAGCTATTACTATTATCATATATAGTTCCTTCACTACATCTTATTGTGTTCAAATTCATATATATATATATATATTATATGGCAGAACTTGATATACTCTCTTTAACTAGTTAATCTGGCTTATACAGAACGTTCTTACTCAACAACAGTTTTTTTTTCTAAATGCTAATTTCTTATTTTTCATTGTCTATTCTTCACGGATACATACTGCATTGAACTAATGAATGTTTCGTATAGTCATGTCATTTCATTATACATGACTTCTCTGTCTTTGTATGAGAATAATAGAGAGATCTTGTCGACTAAAACGAGACTTGCTTAGACCTCTAAGAACTATCATAATTTTTTTAATTATAAAATTTTAAACAAAATCTGTATTAACAAAACTATATGATATTTCGAGGTCAGCTGAAACATGAAGGAATGTTAGACATGCAACATATAGAGATGCTAATGAAATGATCGGCTTTTTCATTTCAAAAGAAAGAGCCGAATGCGAACGTTTGTATCAACTTTGAATTAATCTTTGAATATTCAATATCAATCAGTATATTCAATCTTTTCCAATTATACATTTTCTCTACATGTTGTGCCTAGAACAAAGCACACTGAGATTTAATAGTGTTAAACATGAAATATCTTATATAAAAGAATAAAGACATTCCAGTATAAATATTAAGATACTGCTCTTTAATATATGAGTTGGTGCATGATTAGCACGATAATGTTTAGCATCGGAAGACCAAGCTCGCAAAAATAAAATAAAGGTAAACGGCGTTGGTGTGCATGGCATTGAAGCGAAGGTTAACACTTCGATCAACATACCTACATTTAACTTTTCTGTGCTGAAGAGTTTTCGTGCTCATTGTTTTGGTATTCTTTCTATTATATATAATGAAAAAAAAGATCAAAGTATTGTACATCATAGAAAATCTGATAAAATAAAGACATTCTCATTGAATTATGCTTTTTCTAAAAGCTAAAATAGTATCTAATTCTATTTTTTTTTATTCATCTTTTCTACAGTTTAAAAATGTATACAAACTATCTACCTGACTATTTATTTCATCAGTGTAATTTAAAAATAAACAAAAATAAAATGATATTCTTAGAAAATAGACTCATATTAAATTTACAAAAGAAACTTCTTTAACAGCAAATAACTATGTTTACAAGTGTACAGAGTCAACAATAGAACGAGAAAAAAAACCGATGTGATACACAAATACATGTATTTACGTATCTCGCATATCCATTCTTGTTTTTACTTGTGTCACATGGCTAGTTATGACGAATATGAAATTGTTCTCATCGAAAATGAAACAGATGCGCGTTTATGTGCCAAACTAATTGCAGAAGAATTTGCTTTACACAATTCTTTGGCAATTTTTAATCAGCAAACAGTCGAGTATTTATTTGATAAATGGCTTTGGCCATTAATGATCGATGTACTTGATCAAAAATTATCATTTTTTGTACGACATCATCCAACAAATGAAGTTGTTGCAGCAACCATAGCCAGTGATCTATTCTTACTATGTGAAAAACATCCATATGATGCTTCGAGTCCTGCATCGAATGATCCAATGGTAGATTTATTTCAAGAAATGCGTAATCGATTTGTTCATCATGATTTTGACCAAAAATTACAACCAAATATGGTTTTATGTATTTCAGCTGGTGCAACAAAGTCTAAACATTCAGGTAAAAGTTTAGCTGCTCAATTACGTACTCATATATGTGATCATGCACGAGATACAAAAGGATTTCAATATGCATTTATACAAACAACTAATCCAGCGACACGTCATATTTATGTTAAAAAAATGAACGGAAAAGAAACGTCAATTCTTGATCCAGCAACTTGGCTATGGAAAAAGAAAAATGATGGTTTATCATGTCCAGCTAAAGATTATAGAGGTGAACCAATCGTTAATATTCTTGTTAAACTGAACGAACAAAAATAATATTTATGAACATCATTTTGTTTTTCAAACATGAATATATAATAAAAGAAAATAAATGTTGAAATATTAACAATAAAGATTATTGTTTTTGTTTATTTTTCCTTATAAATTAAGACGAATTAATTTTAATAATAATGTTTCCAAGCATCATAGGCAAGAATCGCAGTTGATTGAACATTACGAAATTGTTTAATCATTAATACAATTATTTGCAAAATTGTTTGTTTCAAAAATTTTAATAATCAAGTTGTTCGAATGACTTTATTCTTATGACTAAAAGAATAGTCTTTCAGTTAGGAATATATATATAACTAGAAAAAATTCATCATCTTTTTATATCTCTTTAACATTTATGGTTTTAAAGGTGAAATTAAGCTAAATTAAGTAACGAACGATAATACTACTGTCTATTTAACAGTGAAAAACCATGAATGAGAAAAATGACAATCATAAATGTATACTTTGGTAGTCATAAATGGTCACATTTCGACAAAATCTGCAGACAAAATTATAATTGTTGGTAATAGAACGTATACTCTGACAATCTAGCTCATATCCAAAGCTTTTGGAAAATTTACTATATCCAACGTTTCAAAAACATGATCTATGCTTTCTACCGTAAGTAAAACCTCACTAATATTCAGATAAATAATAGTGTGTTGAAGAGAAGACTAGACTTATAGCTATAGCCGCAGGTTCACACTCACCTACGCATCCACACGCACGCTAACATTGTGTATCTTAATACAAATGAGGCTTTACTCTTAGCATAAGAAGCAGAAATGTAGACCTAAAATCATGACTGTTGACTATCGACCTCATAAATGATGTTCTTGAAATGAAAAATATAGAGAATTTCGGAAAGTATTGATAGCTATCATATAGCTACTCAGTATACATTTCATAGCTAAATACCGAGATTTCCTTTACATTTTTGCTTTTTTGATCATTTTCCCTTCACTTACTATACAAGACCCACCATTTATTTTTGCCTAACTCTACATTTATAGTTTCTATTATTATATGCACATTTTCTTTGACAACTTATTATCTACAATGCCCTATTCTTAGTATCAGGACCATATATGTAGAGTTTTGCAGTCATAAATGTAGAGAAAATATACAAAATGGTGGATCTTTTCTAATCGAACACAACTGCTCTAAATAGTCAAGTTTAAAGAGCTCTAGTACCACCAGCCATGGAATGCATCTGGCCAAGTGGCCAACGATTATTTGTCTCGGATTACCCGTTCGATAGTATACTGGCGACGTTATAGCATTAACCTGTTCTTGTGGCTAGTATTTGCTTAGTTAGTGTATGTATGAAGATTTAAAAGCAATTGAGCAGAAGAACCCTGTGTCAAGCCAATCTTCTAACCAAAGCTACAAATAATTATAGTTGTAAGAAAGACATCGACCTACTGAATCTGCTACTAGGCAGCATCTCGTACCAAAAGGTAACTTAAAGACAGGGGTATTCTTCCTTTTTCTGAACTTAAAAATCGAAAATTTATTTCTTTAAATAAATAGATTTCTACAAAACTTCATTAAATTATTATTATATAATAGTAAAATTCACATATAGATAAGTAATAATTATTCTCTAAACCATCGAGATTCAAGAGCAGTAAGAGCTATAGCAAATGCTTGAATAAGTGACAAAGGATATTGAAAATCACAAGAAAATTCATTTTCAAGCATTCGACCAAATTGCATTACGATTTGTTCCACATCTACAGAAACAAAAACAAAAAACTTCTTTACGTTAAATTTTAGCTTCAACTTATAGAAATATTTACTTTCATCATTCTTGATTACCATTTGAAAATTTTTAATCGAAGGTATTGCAGCACGATTTTTGCCAATAAAATTTAATGTATAACAAGATTCAACTGCAATAAAATAGTACACGGATTTATTTTTTAATTTGATTAACATATCTTACGTGAATTCCAATGTGGTGGTTTATTGTATAAACGAAAAAAACAATTGCTTTCTTCTTTCAAATCATATTCATTAAGATCACTTTCCTCCTAAAAATCTAACAAAATTATTCCATATATTGCTATACTATACTCAATATTTACGATGAAATATAGCATTTGATCATTGACTTTAGATAATAGAACTTCAATTTTTCTTGGACCATTAATACCAAGAAAATTGGCCTCCTAGATAAAAATAAATCGTTCATCAAAATAACATTTCTAATGAAATATTCATACATAGAGAATGACAGCCAGTTGTTGACGTTTATATCCATTTAAAAGATTTAATACATATCTAGTTCCAGTTAAATCATCACTAGTTAATTCGGCAGAAATATAATTCTTAGGATATTTTGAAATTACTGATATTGTATATTGAGATTGACCACTGATTTTAAATTGCTTTTCGGCTGTTAGTAGACAAATCTAAATAGGAATAAATTTACTTTTTCTTAGAGAAAAAAAACTTAAAGCTGAAATACAAACTGATTCTCCATCATCTGAACACTCGACTTCTAAATGAAATGTTTGAGATAAAACAGACTTATTACGTATAAGACGACATTGAATATAATTGTTGATTTGATTAGAAATCGGCATAAAAACAAATTTATATAAATCTCCATGAATTAAATCTATCATGTTATTGGATGATTCCGGAAGATCTAATTCGTCTACAAGAGAACTCTAAATAAAAGGAAAAACATATTACATTGTCGTAGTGTTCATTCATCAGAGACATCAAAGAAAAGTGAGGAAGAAGTATCAGATATTTCTGAACGTCCAGAAAGTTACTAGGAATATTTTTTCAGTTTTTCTCTCACAAAACTTTCAATTAAAGGACCCCGCCGGATTTCAAAACTTATTCATTTCGAAAAACAAACTACATAGTTTTGTGAGAGAAAAACTGAAAAAATATTCCTAGTAACTTTCTGGACGTTCAGAAATATCTGATACTTCTTCCTCACTTTTCTTTGATGTCTCTGATGAATGAACACTACGACAATGTAATATGTTTTTCCTTTTATTTAGAGTTCTCTTGTAGACGAATTAGATCTTCCGGNGATGTTATCCGAGCATCGTTTACTGTCGCCGTATTTTTACGGTTGTTGTAAAGGACGAACGTTTACTGTCATTGTTTACAATTAACGTAATACGCCGTAAAACGCCGTATATGATTGTCGTGCACGGTCACTGTAAACTGCTGTCGTTTTTCGTCGTAAATGATTGGTGTACGACCGTTTACGGCCGGGCATGAACGACCTGGGTATATTTATCACATGCAATGAAATGCGTACTGAAATAACCTAATAGATGACTGTTTGTTGAAAGTTTTGATAGTGCACACAAAATATATTTATAAGCTCATAAGGTTCAAGTAATGTTTCATCAAGTTCAAAATTTAATTCGTATTCTGCTAAATTACACCACGATATAAGAAATAGTTAATAAAAATATGAGATGCTTGTCGTAATTTCGTTTGTTAGTTGATTAGTTGTCATATGAACGGCTTATTCAAGACACGAACTCTTGTATCACTAAAGAGCAAAAGTGGACAACATCTGTGATCGATTGTTCAGGCACCTGTGATTGTAGTTTTCACATAACAGTAAAATTCATTCATATTAAAAAATTACATTCGAACACTTACTTTATGTCCTTATTTATCGTGTGCATATCTAAAAAATTTTCTATTTTAAGAGAAATTCGGATCAAAAATGAAAGTATTCAATACATAGTAAATCTATTGAGCCAATATATGATCGATTCTTACTCATCATTGAATATTTTCAATTTCGAATATGAGAGATGTTCTGTGACATGAGAAAGAACATTGACAGATATGTTATTGAAAACTCTGGACGAATCTGTACACACCATTTTTGACTTTTTGTTTTCCTTTTTTCATTCGTGATATGTTATAATGTAGTGAAGAAAGAAAATCTTTGATCACGTTATCTTGCAAACAAAATCAAAATGATAATCGTGCGATTTCCAATATAGCCTAAGACAAATCATTGCGCTTACATTCTTGTTCAAAGTAGACATTCTGTTGGTGTAGATGACTGCTAGCTATAGATTTGACTTTTCTTCTTAAAACTGTAAAAAAGAAATACAAATTGGTTGTACTTTTTTCCGTAAAAGTAAATGAATAAAATGTTAATAAATACAGTACGGCTCAAAATTATAAGAACAAGGTAATTTTTTTTTTTTTCTTGTGATGCCGAATACTTAACGAGTATCCAAACAGTGATTTGAATAGCCAGCAAAGTTCTCTATCAGAGGCATTATATATCAATATGTCATAATTGGACTATGTGGAAATGTTTTCTAAAAGTCTGAGTATGGTATTTTCCAGATCGCAAAAGGCACGACGGGAGTTCGTTTTGAACAATACCATCTGAAAGAGCACAAAATTTAAAACAAAATGAGAGGCCGCCATGGTTTTTACGACCTTCCCTTAAGTAGTGACGAGCATCGCAAAAACCAAAAAAAAACATGCCTTTTTGCAACAATTTTTTTATTAGATTTTGATATTTTTGTGATACTTGTAACTTTTGAAAAGATAATCATAAAAATCGCGGCAAGAGCTTTGTGTTCTTTCATATAGTATTAGTAACAACGAACTCTTATAACATCTTCTATGGCCTAAAAACTTTCTCACATAGTCTAATTACGAAATCTTGATATATGATGCATCAGATAGAAAATTTCATTGGTCACCCGAATCATTCTTTTGATTTTAGTTAGATACTTGGCATCACAGAAAAAAAAATCAAAAGTGAACTGATTCCTATAATGTTGAGCTATACTCTATTTGAATCATAGAACAGTTAATTATTGGTCATCAGTATTGATAGTTCCATCTTGTTTCCAAGGTACCGCATACTCAAGTACCTGTTGTCGTAAAAATAAATTCTGACTTTGTCTCATTTGCCGAAGAAGAACTTGGCATTGTTGTTTATCAACACTTGTTTTATTGAATACTTGATTTTTTAGCAGATCAAAGACGAACAATGGTTGACCTTTTTCATTAATAAACCATTGAGCTAGATGAAATTTTTCGTCAATATTCAACTGTTGTACGAAAGGACAAGATCCATCATTATCACCAAGATACGATGCTAGTTGAAGAAGTATATGTTCAAAATAAACAGGTGATAAATATTGTTGAAAAATAATTAATATTTCTTCGAGATTTTCTTTATTTTGAGCCAATTTCATTAGTAATTTTCCAACTAAAGAAGCTCTTGTTATTTCGCATTTAAGAATGAATAGAGCCAAAGAACGAAAACATTGTTGTTGTTGTAGGTCAATTTCACCAATTGAAGAAATGAACATATCCAAAAGTTCGTTAATACGACGATAAATTGATAAATTACTTTGATCATCAAGATTATTTTGATTTGAATCTAATTTTTTCTCATAGTCTATGATTGATTCAATAAAATTCCTAATATCATTGGATGATATTCTACAAGAAAAAACTGTCAACGAAATCCCTTCAGGATTAAAATTTGAAACACTATGTAGCTGATGTTATTAGTCATTAGAAGGCGATTTTATTTTATTTATTTTGGGATACATTTCTTCATCATCGTTTTGCGTGATACTTCAAAAATGCGATAAGGAATTATAATGAGATGTTATTGATATAAAAAGTGAAATTGTATATCAACAATGATTACCATAGTCTGTGGCATTTTCATGGTTACGTCTATTATCCTAAGTCTAGAAATACGAGTTGTTTTCTGCTGAAATACTCGGAAAAATGATAGAAATTCAGAAGTAAGAATAACATGATCGAATCAAATTGTCGGCTCTGTTGGGAATTCACGAATTCGAGCGCCGAAATCTTTGACTTGGAGCAGTCTGTAGGGGAGAAGAGGGGAAGAAAGAGATGAATCGAAATTTTTAGCTTATGTTTCACAAAAAGGTTTTTTTTTTTGCTCAATGAAGTCTTGTACTATATATAACAAACTAGCGAGAACCCGTGCATACTGCACGGCTGTTTTATACTTTAACGCATGACCTCAGACATTTAACTTTTCATCCGGTAAAATACATACAGACACTCGATATTATGTATATAGAGAGATAGCCCCACGACCTCATACTGTCATATCGCACATATTTTTATAGGCCATGTAGCCTTCGACCTTATAGCCTTATATTCCTTGCAGCCTTATCTCCCTATTGCGTTACTCGCTTCAGGGCCTATGGCTATCACAATATAATAGCCCTTGATGGCCAATCAGTACCCCGCTAGGATAACCCTTCAGGACCTATGAGTATCCCCATAGGATAGCACTTGAGAACTCATGGGTATCCCCATAGGATAGCCCTGGAGGACCTTATGGATACCCTCATAGAATAGCATTGGAGGACCTATGGGTACCCTCTTAGGATAGCCCAGGAGGACCTATGGATACCCTCATAGAATAGCCCTGGAGGACCTATAGGTACCCTCTTAGGATAGCCCTGAAGGACCTATGGGTACTCCCATAGGATAGCCCTTGAGGATCTATAGGTACCCCATAAAATAGGCCCTGGAGATCTCTCCCTTAGAGTCTTATTTGACCTTTGACCCGGCACAGACACACAGACACTGAACATTATATATATAGATAACTTACTGCTTTAGTTTGTAAAATGATAGTATTTTTTTAAAAGCTTCTTTCCATAATTTATTAGCATTTTTATCAAATTGAATACATAATTGTTGAGCTTTTTCTATGACTATATTAATATTACAATATTTATTATCAAGTAGAGACCAAGCCCATATACGTGCTGTTAATGATGTTGGATGATCTAAAATTTTCATTTGAATTCGTTGAACAAAGATTTGAAGAATATTAGTAGATGAATCTTTCAATCCAATTGATGATCGACGAATTCCTTTATCATTTGCACCAAAAAGAGCTAATACAACTGGATGATAATCATCATATGCAGCTTGTTCAAGAATTGTCCAAACTACTGATTTATCATCGTTTACATTCAATTCATGAATAAAATCAAGTAAAATCTTTACAAGACAAGTACGAATATCTGGATGAGGTCGACTATTCCATAAAGGTTCTAAAATTGATGTTATCAACGTTGAATTAAAACGATATTCAATTAATAAACGTAACATTGCTTTTTGTGCCGTAATACCTAATGAGAAAAAAAACTGAAACTATTATTTTTCATTAGACTAAAATTTCTTCACCCAATTTTGAAAAATATTCACTATGAATAAATTTGATAAAATGTTGTAAAAAATATTGATCAGTTACTTTTTTTGAAATACTCAATGTAGCATTCCGAACATACGTAGCATTCGATGCATTCAATTTCTCTTTTAATAGATCGAATTGTTTAAATAAATCTTGTGGAAATAAATCAAACATAGATGGTAAAGATAAAATGTAATAATTAATAGTTTGAATATTTGCACCACGACCAGAATTATTATTCGAAGAAGTATCAATCGTTATTGACGAGAAAACATTCTGATTTTTCTCAATCCATTGAAGTGTATAATGATATGTATGAGTTAAACGACTAAGAACATGTAATGCTTTCAATTTTTCAAGATTAGATACATCTGTATCCTAGTAAAAAAAAAAACAATTTTTTTACATTTTATCATATTGAATAAGATTAAATTAATTACTTGTAAATAATCATTTAATATAATATTTGTTATATGTTCTTGTTGTTTTCCTGTCAATTCATAATAGAAATTATTCAATTTATCTATATTAAATCCGGGTATTTTTTTATTTTGTATATTTAAACTTAAATTCGTTTGTTCTTTCGAGACTTTATTGACATTAACAGATTTTTCATCTTCTAGAAGTTTATCAATTAACGATCGATATTGTTGAGAACGTAAAACAATACGTTGAACATCAATATGAAAGTAGAATATTTGATCAATAT